GACTTTATAGACCTCCATCCTCTCTTCCAAGCTGAAAAGTCCCAGTTGTATTAATCCCGTCACACATTGTGGTTGCTCTTTTCTGGACCTCTGTTTTGAGACGGGTGACCATGTCTGCACGCACTATTTTAAGATGTGGGTGTGCCATGGATTTGCTATTTCTGCCCTATTCCCTCTTCCTGTCTTGATAATTCCTACCATCTTTTGAGAGGTGGAGGGAACCGCTTCATTGCCTCTTCCAGCCCATTCAGGCTTTCAGCTGTGGTTTGCTTATTCCAGTCTCACGTTCTGGCTTTGGATCTGAATGTCCCTGATGTTCACACCCCATGTTCTGCTTTGGGCTACGCTTTAGTTTCCGTACCTGGGTTCTGGCCGTGGCTCCCCCGCTGGCCTGCGGTGGTCCCTGGCTGTGTCACAGGGGCCAAGAGCCCTGCAATGCATTCATAACCTGTCCCGAGAGCTTTAGGAACAGGTACCGCAAGTGCTGACCTGCAGCCAAGTCTCCTGGGAGCCAGGCCTAGGGGGTGTCCCTTGGCTTCTGTCAGCTGGCCTGGGTGTGTAACGAACCTGTGGCAGGTCTGGAGCCTGTGTGGCTACTTCCTTGGTATCAACTGAAGAGCCAGAAAATGTCCTTCCTTCATTTAAAATCTCCTATGCCCGCCCCCCAGTGCTTGGACAGCCAAGGAAGCTCTAAGCACTGCCCACACCTACAGGCACTGCCCCTGAAGTTCCCATTGGCCACAGTGCCAGCGGTTGGGGCAGGGACAGTTCCTGGATCTTCCTGGCTACCCCTCTTCTTATCCCGCTACTGTTTAGTCTTGGTTTAATTCATGCCTGCGGAGGGCCAGACCGCACCAGGGTTCCATGCTTGCCGGTGAAGGGCTCCTCCTGCAGCCGGCGCTATTCCGTGTTCAGGGCTCCTGTGGGCCGGCCTCTCACTTCAGAGCGGTTGTGCCTCAGTCCACGGGGCTGGACAGGACTCCTTGGGGTCCCCTTCTTATCCCGCTACTGTTTAGTCTTGGTTTAATTCATGCCTGCGGAGGGCCAGACCGCACCAGGGTTCCATGCTTGCCGGTGAAGGGCTCCTCCTGCAGCCGGCGCTATTCCGTGTTCAGGGCTCCTGTGGGCCGGCCTCTCACTTCAGAGCGGTTGTGCCTCAGTCCACGGGGCTGGACAGGACTCCTTGGGGTCCCTTCCCGGCTTACGTTTGTGCCCTTGACTCCCAGGTTCCAGCGCCTGCCGCCTTCACCCCTTTCCAGCAGATCCCTCCCTGCCTTCCATGGCTCAGTCCTCCCCCAAAGCTGCAGGAGAGGAGGCTGCCTTTTCTCCTTCCCAGGCCTGGCCCCAATATTCTCCGGCCTCCTCACACCTGCCCCTCGGCCTGGGCCAGCACAGCTGGGGCCGAATCGCACCGAATCCCCGTGAGCGCCTGGCTTTGGCGGAGGGATCTCGCAGGGACGTGTTGACTCCTGCAATTGCAGCACCAAGGTGCCATGCGCAGCCCACAGGCCTTTGGCATCCCAGGCCAGGCAGGTGGGGCTGGGGGCTGAGACAGTGTTTGCCCCTTTGTTTATCCTGCTGGCCTCCTCTGTCTGACTCTCCGTGGTTCAGGATGGCCAGCGCCTCTCCCCATCCTTTCTGGGCTGGCTTCGGTGGGGCGGGTGGCCTTGTGCCCTAGTCTGGGCCGTGGCTCCAGGGGCACTTCCTGCCTCCGCTAGATTCCCGCTCCGACCTCGGGCCGGATGCTGAGTTAGCTCAGCCAGGCCAGCAGAGAGGACACGAGCCACATTGAACCGTCCTGCCAGAATCCTGCCTGGACTCACGTTCCAAACCCAAACTTCCTTCGAGTGCAGGGACGTTTGGCACCAGCCTTCTGCCCCGAGGGTCTGAGACTTCAGAACGGTCTTAATGCGGCAGGCCCTCTCCTGCCGTCCCCTGGCCTGCTCCCCAGCTCCTTTCCTTGTGAGGAACAGGCCTTGACTCGACTCGACGGCAACTTGGGCCTGTGCCACAGCAGAAGCCAATTCAAATTCTCCTCCCTGCCTCCCTCTCCAGAGGGCCCCCGGCCTCGTTTTGTCGCCCGCCAGCTGGGCCTCAGCCCTGTGATCTGAACATCTGGGTAACTTCCTTTCCCGGTTTTGAGCCAGCTCCTGGAGTCCATCCCCCGTGCGGTGCCGTATGCCGCTCCTGCTAGCACAACGGCGCGCGCAGTCACTTCTCTTCTGCTCGTCGCTGTGACAGGCGCTGGGCAGGGTGGGCCCA